AAATTATTTACATAAGTGGTTGTAAAATCGTTTTGAATATTGTTAAAAGCATCTAAATACATAAAAAATTAAAATTAAGAGCAAAAGAAGCATTCTTTGGAGAAATTAGAGAAGGCGATTTGAAATTTTTTTTTTGTCCAAAACGGACAACCGAGTCAAAAGTTATGCCTTCCCGAACTTTTAACACTTTACAACACCAAAAAAAAAAAAAATTAAATAAATCGCCTAACCGGCTCCGCGGCCGATTCCGGCCTTCCTCGCGTCAGCCGGCAGTCGCCTAGCGTCTAGACGCGATTTTTGCAACATTGTTTTACTTGCACCAAAATTCGAGTTATGTACAAAAATACCACTGCGTCGTTTTTTAAAAAAAATTACATCTGAGTCGATGATTTGACACGTGAATGGCTATAAGTCATTCTTATTTCTCTCTTGGGCGACAATTCTCACCAGATCACGCTCATATATATATATATATATATATATATATAATGAATTGAAGTATGTAAGTACCTGATTGTCAATGGAGAATGCATGGAAGCAATAACGAGCCCATAAAGTAGGAGGGAAGTTATCGACAGGGCGTGGGAGATGGTTTTCAAAGTTGATTGCCATTATATGGCCAATGCGGGAGATGGAGATGTATATGTATGAGGTGAAGTCGCTTTATTAGGCAATATGATGATAAGAAATGAAAGGCCAAGATAAGGCACCTGTACTTATACTACTTCCAATCCTTGTACTCACAATACACGTGATAAGTCTGTCAAAATAAGATTTTTTTTTTTTTTTTTTTTTTTTTTTTTTTTAAGTATTACTGACTCTGTTAGAATGCAATATCTGTTTCTAAATACTTTTTCAACTTACTGAAGCACAAATAGTTAATACCACTTTCGCTGAGACTCGAACCCACAACTTGGTCTCACTAGACCACAAGGTCCTTGGCAACATATATGTAACTTAAGGATCAGATATATAATTACTTATATTGATGAGATATAAGTATTTAAGGTAACTGCGTCTTCTCACTCTTGGTTAACATCTATCTATAGTTTTGAGTAGAAGTGAGAGTTACAGTAGCAGCTCAAGAAACTTCTCGACACTCTGAGGACTAATCAACCTTCTCAACATATAGGTTAGTACAGTTATTAATTATGTGTACTGATTTGTATGGCTACAATTTTCCCAGAGGTACTAGCCTACTAGGCTCATAGTTAGACTAATTAAGTTACGTATAGAAGAAGAAGTTACGTATAGAATTTGACTATATATCATTATTTTTAAAGTTACGTATACATATAGAATTTGACAGGTAGAAGTGATTAAAACAATATATATATAGGTTAGTACGGTTATTAATTATGTGTAGTGATTTGTATGGCTACAATTTTCCCAGAGGTACTAGCCTACTAGGCTCACAGTTAGACTAATTAAGTTACGTATAGAAGAAGAAGTTACGTATAGAATTTGACAAGTAGAATTTGACTATATATCATTTTTTTTTTAAAGTTACATATACATATAGAATTTGACAATTAGAAACAATATATAGGTTAGTACGATTATTAATTATGTGTAGTGATTTGTGTGGCTACAATTTTCCCAGAGGTACTAACCTACTAGGCTCACAGTTGACTATATATCATTTTTTAAAGTTACGTATACATATAGAATTTGACAAGTAGTAGTGATTAAAACAATATATAGCTTGATTTCAAAAAAAAAAAAAAAACAATATATAGCTAAGGACTTTCTAATGTTTAATATTTTGTGACTCAAGCTTTACAACTTACAATTCAATTTGTAAATTGACAAATAAGTGATAAGTTATACATTTTTCTAATTAATTTGAAGGCTTATTTAACTCAGAAATACACTTATATTATCACATCGGAAATAATTTTATTTTTTTTTAAATAATTGGTGTACCAATGGTCCTTTTATTATTTCAATTTTCTTGTTCAAGTATCTAAGACACCAATAATATATAATATGTGACAAAATTGGCGCAAAATAACAATGAGCAATAAGTAAGTGTGAGATCTTTGTGGTCATTACCACTAACCAAAAAAAAAAAAAAAAAAAAAAAAAAACAAGAAAGCAACGGCATGTTCAATTTTTGTTTTTTAAGAACATAAATAAATAGCTTTCAATTGAGAGTGGCCCGCCAACGAATGACCACTCTTAATCGCCCCAGCGGGGTGGATAGTGAGATGCAATTGCGTCTCAATGTCTTTTTTTTTTTTTTTTTTTTTTTTAAATATATATATATATATATATATATATATATATATATATATATATATATATATATATATATATGACAAAATGCAATAATTTGCAGGAGTTTAATCCATAAAAAAAAAAAAAAATTTAACCGCACATAAAAATCAATTCAACCTTTTTATACTGTACTGTACCAAAAATCCAATAAATTCTGTTAGCTAGTATGGTTGCTCTAATGGTTGTTGGCATTTTATTTTATTGGTCATTGTGCCTGGAATAATTAAATATGATTTGGCTGGAATTTAGAAGTCCTTTTTCCAAGAGATAAGCAGTCAATAAATGACAAATAAGGATTAGATATTGCGAAGATACCATCTTCACGTATATTCCAAGTAGGGGTGTAAATGAGCCGAGCAGCTCGCGAGTCGCTTGCTAGCGGCTCGGTCAAAGCTCGACTCGAGCTCGGTCAAAATCGAGCTCGAGCTGAGCTTGAACTGCTCGTTTAGTAATCGAGCTCGAATCGAGCCTAGATATTCTAGGCTCGTGGCTCGTCGAGCCGCTCGCGAGCCATATTATATATAATATATATAATACATAATATAATATAATATAATAATAACAATTAAAATTTAAAATTTAAAATTTTAAACTTAAATTCCCTAAAAGATTTCTATTATTTATGTATGGATAAAAAAAAGTAGTTTGAATTTTAAATCAAAAATATTAAATAGGTCCAATTCAATGTCAAAATCGAGCTCGAACTCGAGCTCAAAATCAAGCTCGAGTTCGAACTCGAACAATCGAGCATCAGTTCTCAAGCTCGATCGAGCTCGAGCTTGAACTCGAGCCGAGCCCTCATTAACGAGCTCGAACTTGAGCCTATCCAGGCTCGAGCTCGGCTCGGCTCGTTTACACCTCTAATTCCAAGTACGTTATAAGCCGTCACTATTTAATCGTCAGTAAATCTTGCTTTGGATAAAATTGCAACATTTTAAATCGATAATAGAATTACAATATATATCAACTACAACTAAATAATAACAACAATCAAGAATGTAAAAAATATTGAAATGTTCCTCAAAAAAGGATGCAGTTCTATTTATCAATAGATAAAATATCATATTAAATGATGTATTTACATTTAGACTAGAAATTTAAGTGTATATAAAAAAAAAGTGTATTTGATTTATTCAAGAATAAATTTTTTTTTTCTATTTCTCATTCTTTGGTCCCATTTTGTCGTTTATGATTTATAAATTTAATTTAAAGTCTTTGCGGCAAATTATATCGTGCACCGCGCGTCAGACACTACAGTGTGTCTAAACCGATACTGTCAAAACGACGTCGTTTTATTTAATGAAAAGAAACAGAATCTTTGCAAAAAATAACTTTGTTCTTCAGTTTCATTTTGTATACACCGCAGTTTCAGTTCAACACAACTACAGTTTCATTTTGATATAATTACAGTTTCAGTCAATATTTATACACTCAAATATGTGAAAATGTTATTTAATTTTATTTTATATACATTATAATTTCATTAAAACACAACTACATGATCATTTGAATATAATTACAGCTTCATTGTACAATATACAATCAAATATGTGAAATGTTATTCAGTTTCATTTTATATATACTGTAGTTTCATTTCACCACAACTACAGTATCATTTTGATATAACTGTAATTTCATTTGATAATATAAAAATAATACGTGTGCCACTGTCGATTTAGGCACACTGTAGTGTCTGACGCGCGGTGCATAATCGATTATGCACTGCGGTGCACGATATAACGACCCAGATGAAGACATGAAGTACAAGTTTCACGTGGCTAATTTAAGTCTTTAATTTGGTCCCATTTGTGGTAGCTTTTAAAAATAACAATGATAAAAGAGTAAATATGTAAATTAATCAATTTCAAGTACACATCATGCAAATAAGTGAAAAACATATTTTAAGTAAAAGTATCATACTGTAACATTACCTTTTTTTTTTTTTTTTTTTTTTTTTGTAAATTCATATAAATACTCATTAATGAATAAAAATAATCATATAGCTAAATATTTTTCGAAAGAGTTAATTTCATTTTTGGTTCTAGATTTATATGTGGCAGTCCAATTTAAGTTATTTTTTTATCAGAACATCTACTTTTGGTCTTAGTATTACTGTGATATGACTATTTTTAGTCATTTATCAACAAAATATTTAAATATCGTTAAATATAAGGACATTTCGGTCTCCAATTATGATTTTTTTAAAAAAATAAACATAATAATATAGTGGCTTAACTTACTTTGTATAAAAAGATTGAAATGTCTTTGTATTTAACTACATTTCAATAATTATGTTGATTGATGACTAAAAATGGTTATGTTACAATAATACTATGACCAAATGTTGTGGATGTTCTAAAAAAAAGAATTAAAAATAGACTGTCACCTATAAATCTAAGATAAAGAAAAAAAGGAATTAACTCTTTTCAAAATGATTAAGAGAAGCTAAGAAAAACTACCAATAAAGTGAAAAAAATGCAATACTTTTAAATGAAGTAAATTTTGATCACCTTCAACCAAATATTTACATCCTAGTACATATTTGTAGGGGTATGCATTTAATTAGTTGCTTGATTAATTTAAATTTCTAAACCTTTAACCATTATTCGAACTGAAATTTTTATTACTGATAATATTTTTGTTTAAACGATTAACTAAAAATTTTAGTTAAATTTTGGAATCCTTAAAATTATAAATAAAAATTTAAATTACCTATTATATCAATACCTATAAAAATTAATATTGTTTAAGATGATCACCAAACAAACAATTTAAGGATTAAATATGATCACATGTATAATTAAGAGGTTAAGTTAATTATTGTGGTATCATAAAGGGACTAAAATGCCTATTTTCCCTTTATTTTTTATTGGCCAAAGTTTAGAAGAAACCCACCTCTCTTTCTATTCCCCCTAGGGTTGTTAACGAAACGAACATAAACGAACGGATGTTGTTCGTGTTCGTTTCTTAAGTTTTTTGGAGTGTCCGTGTTCGTGTTCATTTGTTAAGGTTTTTGAAAATACTGTTTGTGTTCGATTGTTAAGCGTTCATTAGTGTTTGCTAACGTTCGCAAACACATTCACGAACGTGTCCATTAACATTAACGAACACGTTCACGAACATATTCGTTAACATGATGAGAATATAATTGTGTTGTATTCAATAATAATGTATGAGAGTACATGGAGCGAATATATAGAGATGCTAGATAGAATCCTAGTCTAACACGAATAATATAGTCCTAGTCTAATATGAATAATATAGTCCTAATACTAATATGAATAATATAGTCCTAATACTCACCCTCAAGCACAAGGTTGGCTAGCCAAAACATTGAGCTTGTCACGGAGAGAGTTAAAATGAAGAGACGACAGAGACTTTGTGAAAATATCTGCTAGTTGATCCTTGGTTGAAATAAAGTGCACTTCTAACTCCTTTTTGGCTACTTTATCGCGAATAAAATGATAGTCAATCTCAATGTACTTCGTGCGGGCATGAAACACTAGATTGACACATAAATAAGTAGCTCCCAAATTATCACACCATAGCTGAGGAGGAGACGCAGGCGGGATGGTGATTTCATGTAACAGAGAAACGAGCCATGTAACTTCTGCAGATACATCAGCGAGTTCCTTGTATTCTGCTTCAATCGAAGAACGTGCCGAAGTCCGTTGCTTCCGACAAACCCAAGATATAAGATTACTGCCCAAGAACACAGCAAAGCCACTAGTAGATTTCCGGTCATTCGGATCGCCAGCCCAATCTGAGTCAGAATAGGCGTGAATATCCATAGATGTAGATCGAGAAATACGCAGGCCAAGATTCAGGGTGCCTTTGACATACCGCAGGACTCTATTTAGAGATGCCCAGTCTGTAGTAGTGGGAGCATGCATATGTTGACACAATAGATTAACATCATAAGATAGATCCGGACGAGTTACCGTAAGATAATGGAGAGCACCAGCAAGACTCCTGTATTGTGTTGGATCGGCATAGGGAACGACCACGTCGTCTGTGATTTTCGCAGAAGAGACAGGCGTGATTACTGGCTTGCAGTCCACCATGCCAACACGTTTGAGAATATCATTCATGTACCGTTGTTGGGATAAAAGCATACCGCCAGATAACAAGACAGTTCTATTCCCAAGTAGAAAGAAGGCACACACATATCACGAACCTTAAATTCAAGTGATAATTTATCAATAAGAGCAGTAACACGATCTGAGTCAGAACCCATAATTAAAATGTCATCAACATACACCAAGAAATAAAGACGAATATTGTTACGAGAATAGATAAAAAGAGACACATCCGTCTTAGAAGGCGAGAAACCCACATAGACAAGAAAATCATGTAGCCTTGTGAACTATGCACGTGGAGCCTGTTTGAGACCGTATAGAGATTTTTTAAGCAAACATACATGATTAGGTAACGACTTATTGATGTGAGCCTAATTATACACATTTTTAGTATTGATTTAGTTATATTTGTTAGGCTTGAGCTCATGATTTTGGTACTTTAATTGCATAATTCTTTATTTTATCATTTAGATATGATTCACACTTGTTTTGAATGTTTTACGGTGTTTGTTAATATTTTTAAACGATTGTAGGTTAATTTTATGAGTAAGGGAAGTTTTAGGGCGAGTTTGGAGTCAAAATAAACAAAATTAGAGCCCAGGAAACTCGACGTATCAAAAAAATGCCGTAGCATTTATTTTGGAGGAAGTCGCGTTCGACGCGTCGAGCAATGCGTCGAAATCGCGACTTTAATTTACGTCGAAGAGATGCTGTGCGCAACAACTAAAAAGACGGACGCAATTTCCTAAAATGGCAAAGGCAAACTCTTCTCTAATTTGAATGGCGCAATTTCCAAGCCAAGTGGGTTGTAATGATTTCCTAATCATTAAGGAGGCAAAATATTCCAAGATTAATTACGACAATTTCCAAAATAAATTAAGAAAATTACAAATTTGCCCCAACTTTGTACCCACTATGACTCTGTTTGGCAAACCTAGCTGAAAAGTTATAAGCTAGGAGCTGAAAGCTGAAAAGCTATACGCTCGGAGCTGAAAACTGAAGAGCTGTTTAGCTAGCTGTTATGATTGAAAGTGTTTGGTAAAATTAGCTTTTTGATAAGCTGATAAATGTAAAAAGACTAAAAAGGACATCTTCATAAAATTTAAATTAGTTTGTTTACATATTAAAATTTAACATTTCGACTTCCAAAAAAAGTAAACATTTTTTAAAATAAAACTATTAGCATGATCATGATCTAGCATCCCATAATGAAGTAGCAATATTGTTGCGAATCTCCTTCATCTCCATAGAGGCCTGACTTAAATTTTCGTTGATGGAGATATTAGTACTTGAATCTTGAAGGTCATCGGGCGGTATGTAATCTGGATGCTGCTCAAGCACATTAAACATCATGTCATCTTGTGAATTCTTTCGAATATAATTATGTAGTGCAAATGTGACCATAATAACATCAATTTGGGTCTCCACACTAAACTGCGGCATTTTAGCAAGTATCTTCCATCTCTTCTTCAATACTCCAAACGACCTCTCAATACAACTTCGAAGAGAAGAGTGTGCACGATTAAATGCTTCTTGAGCATTAGTTGGCGGCTCTTGTTCAAATTGAGATTGATGATACCTTATTCTTGGATAAGGTACCAAATATCCTTGTTTATCTGCATATCCTTTATCCACCAAATAATATCTTCCTAAAAAAATATAACACTAAACTTTTATAAAGAATAAAATTATATGATTTTTATTAGAGTTAAAGTAATACGAATATGATACCTTGTGGCGGCTTGGGAAAGTTCATTGATGGTGTATTAATAGCATGAAGAAATACACGTGTATCATGTGCTGATCCTTCCCATCCAACAGATATAAAAGTGAAACACATATCGAAGTCACACGCTGCCATAACATTGAAAGTAGGAATTCCTTTTCTCCCTCTATATCGCAATTGATCAGCCTCAGGGATGCACACTGCTATATGAGTACCATCAATACATCCAATACATACAATCCTATTCATCATATATATATATATATATATATATATATATATATATATATATATATATATATATATATATATATATATATTAGATAATCAATCTTATAATAATAATAATAATAATAATAATAATAATAATAATAATAAATGGTCACATTTTACCTTGAAATATGGCATGTATCGTGCATCATTAGTAATGTAAGACGGTATAGATTGAAATGTAGGATCATCTGGTTTTATGATATCACGTGCAAGGCCTTTGTATCCGCTACTCCTACCACTAATTGCTTCCAAAACTTCATGAAATGCTCTACTTATTGTTTCACCGGAACGTTGAAATCGCTCACCAACCTCTCTATTGGAAGCACCCATAGCAAGTGTGTATATAAATATACCAACTTTCTCCACATATGACATATTCCTAGTAGATTGTAATCCATATTTTGAATATAAGTCTTCACATAATTGCTTATACAAATCGGAGTCCATTCTAAATGCATTTACACATCGAATAGGATGTCCATTCAACACTTCTCTCATCCATTCTTGTCCTCTAAAAGGTGAAGTCATACAAGGTTCTTTATAAATATATTTAAAGTAATATGTTTTGGTTAAAGCAATTGTGGCATACGATGTTATAATTGTACAAAGTGCTTGCTTTCTCTTTTTTCTTTTCCGTTCCAACTCCATGATGTACCTAATAAATATAAAATAATGAAACCAATATATTTTAATAAAATATAAAGTAAGAACATATATTTGAAAATATATAAAGTAAAACAAAATGTTTATAATTCATAAAAGTAGTTCATACTAAAATTAATGTTCAAACACACAAATGTCAAATTGAAATTACAACCAAACATATTGAATAAAATAAGCATTCACTTGCTTGTATCCTGCATATACTTCAACCAAGCTTTCCTAGAAGAGTCATCATCAATATTGCAAAAAATTTCCCGATTCAAATCATCCTTAAGCAAGTTGAGAGAAAAACACCACAAATCTCCACATTTTTTCATAATACCCTCACTAACCATGCGATTAACAACACTTATTGCTGCAGCAAGACTAAAACTTGTACTACTTTGAGTATTCACGGTACTCTCAGATATTAAAATGTCCAATGCCCGATTTGAATTTGAAATCAAACTGTCTAATTGACTAGAAAGTTTAGCTGCTCCTCCTGATTGTCTCCTCTTACGCTTCATTTGAGTGGGTTTAAGACCAATATTTTGAGTTTCTGCACTTTTTCTTGCATTATGATCTTGAGATTGCCTAGGCACTTGAGTGCCACTAACAGGGCGTTTGGTTGGACGGGGGGGGGGGGGGGGGGGGGGGGAATTATGTGGGAAAGGAATTGTAATTCCATGGGAGTTGAATTACTGGGAATAAAGTGGGAATTTAAATTCCAGTGTTTGGTTGACAGGAATAGAATTACTGGGAATTTCAATTCCAATGTTTGGTGTACATGGGAATTGAAAGGGAATAAGTAGTATAAAGTCAAAAATGTCCATTATTGTTGTTAGACATTAATTTTAGGTTAAAAAAGGAAGGGGTAATTTTGACTCATCACTATCTTTTTTTTCCCAGGAATTAAAATACCAGGGGGGGGGGGGGGGGGGGGGGGACATGGGATTTTAATTCCATGAAAATGGGGGAATTGCAATTCCCTCCAACCAAACTACGGAATTTAATGGCTTTTGGAATTAGGTGGGAATTAAGTGGGAAGGGAATTTAAAATCCCTCCAACCAAACACCCTACATCTTGACTACCACTAGAACGATTCACCTCACTAATAAAATTATTCCAAAATGAAGACTCATTAACCTCCAAATCCTGCAATTGAGAAGAATGTTGTTATCCTGAGAATATAACAAATCTTCAAATCCTTGCCTAGTCCTATTCTCTTCTCCACTTTCTATATTTTCTTCCTCAATATCCACAGGTTGCACTACCCGAGGATCCATAGTGGGCGCAACATGCACAACCTTCACCATTTGCATAGTTATCTTCAAATAACTTAGACCACAAATCTTCCATTGCAGGATCAATGGATTTACTACGGAATTTTTTATACTCTGAGTTCTCCTACAAAAGAAATCAAAAGAATAAGTTTACAATCAACACCAAAATATTATTATGTTTTAATCTTAAAAAACTATAATACAAACCTTGATTTTTTTTCCACCACTCGTCAGAGCCTCTAATCTTATTTGTACTAGGATCCCACCCTAAACCAGTTTCACCACGTTTCAGATGCTTTCAAGTTCTCCATTTTTTTTCATAGCATCCCACTTATTCTTTAAACTTCTATGTGCAATTTTTCGTTTGGCGGTAGCTTCAAACTCTTCTTTAATCTCCTTCCATTTCATTAACCCACGCCCATGCTTTCGAATATATTTGATACAAATCTCACAAAAAAGCATCACGTTCTCGTTGGTCCACTTAAAATTCTCTCCATCCAAATTGTCATTGGTTGGAGTCATATTGCTAATTTAAAAATAACCCATTAATAATAATAATAATAATAATAATAATAATAATAATAATAATAATAATAATAATAATAATAATAATAATAATAATAATAATAATAATAATAATAATAATAATCTAAAGTTTCAATTTAATGATCCTAAACACATCAAAATGAATGTGCAAAATGATCCAGTGCACAAGACTATCATTTACAGTATGCAACTAATATTATCCAATACCCTCTAATATAGCAAACATCTGCATTTTTATTGGACAAGATCTTAGTACTCAAACCACAGAGGAACACAAGTAGACATATGGTTACCATGGGTAAAATTCCCTTCATCATTTGGTGACATTTGGTTGTTATTTATTATAGTCCTTGCAGATTTATTATTTATTATTTATATTTCTTATGCACCAAGAGCTCATGAAAGACAGAAAATGTCAAAATAATACATGCTTTAAGAAAATATAATTCCCATCATATTCAAGGATTCCACCAAAAACAAAATTTTATTATGCACTAAGTTATTGCATGTCAAGTTTCATATTCTTAAGGCAATGCTATAATGAAAATCATTAAAGGAAACTAAATGGATGGGAATGCAAAACAAGAAGATACAAAACACAGAAACAGAACTAAGAAGATAAACAGAAAAACAAAATTTTATTATGCACCAAGTTATTGCATGTCAAGTTTCAAATTCTTAAGGTAATGCTATAATGAAAATCATTAAAGGAAACTAAATGGATGGGAATGCAAAACAAGAAGATACAAAACACAGAAACAGAACTAAGAAGATAAACATAATTTTTTTTTTTTTATTTTATTATTATTTACCAAGAAACAACCAAATGGATTATTATTTTAATAAACAAGTATTACCAGCAAAACACAGAAACGGGAACAGAACTAAGAAGATACCAAATTTTATTATTTACCAACGGAACAAGGAAACTAAATTGCAGAGACTAAACTATTTGAATCAAGATGCAATATATACAAGAACTACAACAAAATAACATATACATACCTACGGACTGATGCTATGGGCTATGGCTATTGGATTGTTGCCGACTGCGGAGTGTGGCTGATGGACGATGCTTCGGCGGAATGCGAATGGGGGATGGACGATGCTTATGCGGAATGCGAATGGGGGATGGACGATGCTTTGCGGAATGCGAATGGGAGATGGACGAGTTTCTGAATGCAAATGAAGATGAAGAGATTTACGTGAAAGTTGCGGATAGGGAAGAGAAAGGATTTTAATTCATAAGGTTAAAAATGTCATTACTTTAAAATAATAAGGGTAACAATGGAAAAAAAGTTAGGAAGCTAGGATCTTATTTTGGAAACATTACCAAACAGAGCTTATAGCTTATTAGTAGCTTAAAATAAGCTATAAGCTCCTAAATAAGCTCTGCCAAACAGAGACTATAAAATCCCACCTTCCTTAACCCTAAGGAGAATTGAGAGATCTTTGAAGACAAGACAGGGAGAAATCAAGAGCCACAAGTTATCTTGGGAAGCAAGAAGAAGACTAGGGAGATTCGAGAGAATCGTCTGGTTCATTGTTGTACTCTTTTGACAATTTGCATTTTCTTTATTAATATTTGCTATGTATAATTTAGCCATGTTTGGCTAAATTCTTTAGAGATTTTTGGGTAAAAGTGTTTATGAACCTATGTGCCTGAGCTTTTAGGTTCTTTAATATATTATTATTTGGGTTTAATGTTTGATGCTTGTAATTAGTGGCCACAGTTACTTGTTTCGTTTGCTATCTTTGTGTCACAACGAGATTTGAGCATAATTTAGGGCACACACAATTGCACATAACTGTTGCATCTTGAGAAAGGGTAGCGTAATTTTGTTAGGGAGTTTAATTCTTGATTATTGCGCATCGAGAGATGGTAGTAGTTAGGAATTTATGATGCTTGATCTTGTTTTATTGGGTGTTTAAGCCACGAGAGTGGAAATTCACTAGTGTTAGTGACTACGAGAGTAGCTCTATACCACCTTGCATCCTCACACTTGTTAAACCCAGATTTTAATATTGTCCTTAAGATTTGGCACTAGGTGATTAAATACTTGAATCCCAGGAATCTCATCTCTCTCTAATTGTTTTCAAAATCCTGAATCTCTGCTTTATTTTATTTATTTTATGCAAATCAATCATCTAAACAATTGTTAGGATTAGATCTAATGAATAAATTAGTAACTAGTGCTTGATACAACCACTTCCCTGTGGATCGATAACTCGTACTCCGAGTATTATTTGTTTGCAAATATACTACACATCACTTATCCTCATAACCAGGTGGCTGTTGCATGTAAACAGTTTCAGCTAGCTCGCCATTTAAAAAGGCGTTGTGAATATCCAACTGGCGAATAGACCACCCACGAGATACGACTAAAGATAAGAGAAGCCGAACCGTAGTGGGCTTAACCACAGGACTAAAGGTCTCAAAAAAAGTCCTCTCCAGCAACCTGATTAAAACCCTTGGCTACTAACCTTGCTTTATGACAGTCTATTGAACCATCGGCCTTTCGTTTGGTTCTGAAAACCCACTTGCAACCAACAACATTCATACCTGGTTGAGATGGAACGAGACGCCACGTATGATTATGGACCAAAGCATTGAACTCCACGTCCATTGCATCACGCCACTCAGGAAATTTGACCGCCTGAGAGTAACATGTAGGCTCAGGAAATATAGTGGAAATAGTGGTTAAGGCAACATGTTGATGCGGGCCGGAGCTGCGAGTGTTCATGCTATGCGACTGAGGAGGCGGAGTAGCACGTCGAGGACGTCCGCGTGGCCTGCCGCGCTGCTCAACCTGCTGGTCCGAGACAGTTCGCTCACTCGATGCAGACTGCTCGTGACCGTGACCGGCATCACCGCCAGAAGCCGCCACGGGCTTGTGAATCTGCCGAGCGTCATCAGTAACCGTGGTCGATACATCACTTCCTTGGCCCGTCACAATTGGTGCAGTAGCCCACTATTCGGAACGCGGTGTAGCAACCTGCGAGGCAAGAGGAGAAACAAAGGGAAACACAGTCTCATCGAATCGCACGTGGCGACA